TAGCAAAAACAAACAAACAAACAAACAAACAAAAAACCAGAAACACCCCCACCCAAAAATGAGCATCTATTTAGGCCTGTTATCTTTTAAGGTGCAGAGAAGTAGAACCACTGTCAACTCTTCCTTAGTAGTCACCCAAATGACCAGTCTGCCTCTTCCTACCATCCCAGAAATAAAATTTGGAAAGATATTTCCGGCCACTTAAAAGGAATTTCCTGGGATTTCTCCAATTCAGAAGCAAATACTGCTCCACACAGAGGGAAGTAAAAATATTCCCAGGATATTAGCACTCTAAAGATCCCTCCCTCTCAGAATTGATGACATTTCAGATGCTCTGAGAAATTGGGAATATAACTCAAGAAGATAAATTAGGGGATATTCCTGGGTAGCTAAACACACTGGCGGGAAATAGTGACTCTGACCTGCCATATACCCTCAGTGGGGATGAAAGACTGCTGTTTACCCAGCTGTGCTCTCAACTCAGTCCTTGACCCCAGCTGTTCTCTTTCAATCATAACAAATTAATAGTCTTTAGGGGCAAGTTTAAACATGCCACCTACAAGTTGTCTCTGAATATATCAGGTGGAATACAGTCTTTAGTTCTACTGAAATCTCCCTAAATGTCATATTTTTCTATCATATAATTGTATACTTTTATTGACAGAAAAGACGTTGGGTTAGGAAAAACCTGCTGTTTTATTGATTTCCAACCGCATTTCTTCGTAACTAAAGTCACAGGGTGATTTGCTTTCATTCAACAAATTGAGGCTTTGGAAATATACTTGTCTGGCAGAACTGGATACAATCCACTAGGAAGGATCTCTATCCTAGAATTAGTAGACTTCAGACATATCTGTTTATTTACTTGTCTGGTGAAACGTAAGTAACAAAACATTCTCTCCTGAGATGATCAGCCAACAAGTGGGCCTTAAACTAGACAGAGGAAGACTTTTTTTGTTTTAAAAGCAACACCAACCAAAAAACTGTGAAGGGATATCAGATGTCCAATTAGATGAGGTTAAGTATTTTTCCTCTGAAGGTGATTTTTAATTTCCATATCTCAAGTGTAAACAGTATAAAGATTTCTAAAGTATAGTATAGCATGCTACAATGTATTTTCAAATATAATATCTCATTTAATCCTAACTCTTTTTCCAAATGAGAAAAATAAACCTTAGGAAATGTATGTAATTTACCCGACATCACACAGCCAGTAAGTGACAGAAGTAGAACTCAAATCTGGTCTTTTGAAGCAAGCCCAGAATTCTTTAGAAAATGGTTTGTTTTATAAGAAAATTAATATTTCCTAGACTTAAATGACTCAAATCTGAGCTTTCTCTGCTGAGACACTGTGTAGACCAATATCACATGTTATCTCATTTCTTTCATTCTCTGGATGTGGAAATACATACAACATATGAAACTTTGCAAAAATATGATGACAGAGATGAAGAGTTGCTTTAATTATAATAGTTGATTTTACCTTCTTATTGGGCCGTATCCTAACCCTCATCCTTTTTGAAGATTGAAGATGATGACATCGATACATTTAGGAAAGAATATTACAAACGTCATTTTTTGAGTTTCAACCCAAAAGGAAAATAAAATGAGCACATATTAATTTTTCCTACACAATGACTAATTTATCCCAAACTAATGGCTATTCTTCAAGAATATACTATATACACTAATATACTATATTATAATTATGACTTATAAGAAACATAAATTTGGTCCTTCAAATCAGCAAAATGTATTTCTCAAAGACCAAATGGTCTTTGTCCACAGTTCCTGGCTCACAGCTTCCAGAACCCTTGCAACTTCCTGAGCAATAAGAGCAATAGGAGCAACTTTTGTTATAATATTTGGTCTCTTGTCCTCACTTCCTGAAATTATGAAATTATGGCTTCAGAGCCATAAAGGTGAAATGGCTGTCTTGTTATTCATAATTGGGTTTATGTTAATGAGGTAACTTTTGGAAAGTACCTAAGGAAGGAGACTGGTTGCCAGGGGAAACAATCTTGAATAGAGGATCAGAACTTTCAGTCCCATCCCCTGATTTTCAGGTCAGGGATAGTGGCTGAAGGTTGAACCAATCACTAATGTCCAATTATTTAAGCATTTATGTCTCCAAAAAAAACCCCAAAAAACAAAAGAGAGAGTTCAAAAGAGCTTCTGGATTGGTGACCACGTGGAGATGCTATAGAGTCACACGTCTGGAAAGGGCATGGAATCTCTGTGCCTGTTCCCCATACCTAGCCCTGAACATCTTTTCAATCTGGCCATTCCTGATTTATAGACTTTTATAATAAACTGGTATTTAGTAAGTAAAACACTGCTTTCACTCTAGCAAATAAGTTCAGCTCAGAAAGGGAGTTGTTGGAACCTCAGACCTATAGCCAGTTGGTAAGAAGCACAGGTGACAACCTGGACTTGTGACTGGCATCTGAAGTCGGAGCAGAAGGGCAGTTTTATAGGACTGAGCCCTTAACCTGTGGGATCTGATGCTATCTCCAGGCAGACAGTGTCAGAACTGAGTTAATTGCTTGGTGGTGTGGGAAACCACCCCATCCCCCCAAAACACCTGCATCAGATTTGGTAATCAGAATAGTTCTATAGTTGTAAAGTTAATTTAGCAAAATATTTGCACATGATGACAGTAGTATTCATCAGTGAAATCATGGAATAGCATTATCTATTATACATAGGTCCATCCACAGTCACTCATGAATTATCATCTAAAAATGTTGGACGACTAAAGGCAAGACAAGACATAGGCAACTGGAATGATTTCTAACTCATGGACCATGGTTTTACAAAATCCTACATTGAAATGTTTATCTTTCAAATAGAGCTAGAGAAAAATTCTTAACCATTGAATGAAAGCCAACCAATAAACTCCTATAATTTTACCTTCTTTATTTTTCAATTTCTTTTTCCATCAATCTAAATGTGCCTGGCTATCAAGATCTTTCCCCTATTTCTATTGCAAAAAGTACCTATTTTAAAACATGATTTTAAATAATTTTAATAAATTAAATTTATGCAGATGGCACTTTAAATTTGAAATAAGGCCATAAACAAGAAAGAGCCTGGGGCAATGGTGCAGGAAGGCAAATTGAAAATAACACACAGAATGACATCAGACACATTCACTAAGAAGGCATACAGAGTAGGAGAAAGAGATCTTTTGCTGTTACTAAAAAAGAGGTAACTTCAGAATGACAAAGATGAACAGATATTACCTGCTATGAGAATAATGATAGATTCAACTGTGATGATTTCAGTCCTATGGGATTTATAATACCTTTGTAAATAATACTAAAAATGTATTTAACAAGTGGGACTTTGAGGGCTTGAAACTAGATAACAAAAGGCTGAGAGAAAGAGCTGAAGAAAAGTTATCACCATCAGGTTGAAAAGAATATATATCAAATCACTTTGTGCTTTGAGTTTTTCTTTGGAAATCCTTGCTTCATTTGGTACTACGAGATGTATTTTTAATAGTAAATGTACTTACATACATTTTGCTAAATCATACTAAAATACTGGTATTTTCTTTCCCTATATTTGGTTCTCAGGACACAATCAATTCAGTAAATTCACTCAACAAAGTTTTTACAATACCAGTTGTGTACAAGACACTCTACTAGACCTTGAAAGAGATACAAATTTACAAGGTCCCTGGGTTTTTTTTTTAATCACTTCTTTTTCTTTTTAAAGATTTTATTTATTCATTTGACAGAGAGAGAGAGAGAGAGAGAGAAGCAGCAGGAAGCGGGAGAGGGAGAAGCAGGCTTCCCGCTGAGCAGGGAGCCCGATGCAGGACTCAATCCCAGGACTCTGGGATCATGACCTGAGCCAAAGGCAGATGCTTAACTGACTGAGCCACCCAGGCACCCCCAAGTCACTTCTTTTAATAGTAAAAATGAAGCATGTACCCAAATATTCTCAGTGCAAAGTAGTACAAGAACCATTGTAGGTGTAATGGAGAATAATAAAGGAAGGATAAACCGTATTTGACAGTCAGAGATGACATCAAAGAGATGATATTTGGGATAACTTGAGAAGAAACAGGGTAAGTAGAAGGTAGAAGGAGACCAGGAGCAAAGATCTAGGGAAATGAGGGGCACCTGGGTGGCTCAGTCGTTAAGCGTCTGCCTTCGGCTCAGGTCATGATCCCAGGGTCCTGGGATCAAGCCCCATATCATGCTCGGCAGGAAGCCTGCTTCTCCCTCTCCCACTCCCCCCGTTTGCATTCCCTCTCTCGCTGTCTCTCTATCAAATAAATAAAGTCTTAAAAAAAAAAAAAAGATCTAGGGAAACGAATAAGCAAGGCCACGCACGAATAATAGATTCATCCCAACTCATATCCCCAGGGTATCCAACTTCAGTGGCCAACTTCCAACCCCCAGTATCTTTATCCATTTGCCTGAGTGTTTTCTCTGAAATGGCAGAATGCCTTTTTTCATACATATGACTGGCAGAGAGCTGGGGAATTAGTACCTTCCGCAGTTGGTATAGAAATAAAAGCTCAGTTTCCCTGACTGATGAATCTACACCGCCTCTCAGAATTTTCCCAATGGAATTAAGTTCTAATTGCCTGCAATAGGAGAGACTCTATAACCCTTTATTCATAATCCTTCACTTGTTGCTTTCTTGTCTCTGTCTCACTTTTCCATTTTCCTACTGGTATTTCCTGCACCCCCCAAACAAATGTGAACCCTTCCACCAAGGCTGTTTAGGGGAGAACCTAAGTAAGAAAATATGAACGTGTAGGAAAGAGGAAAAATTCAGAAAGGTGGGGGACCATGGTCCATATTGGGATATCACAGAAGTTAGGACTAGACAGATAGGTTGTATACAATTGGTCCATGTTTCAAGCACTGCATCTAGTATACCACTAGACCAAAACATCATACATTAACTAAGGACAGTGCATAGACATAAGAGCAAAGTCAGAATGAAAAATACTTCTTTCTCTTCAAATCATAAGAATGGAAACAGCATCCTTTCCTCAATGTATCAATCAATCAGTGTTTTGCCATTGATGCACTCACAGCAGTTAAGTGGTAGAGGGTGGAACAGGTCTGGGAGTGGAAGTGGGCTTGACACGAGGGTGCTAGATGATGTTCTCTTTGGTTTTAAGTTGGATGGTTGGTACCTGTTTTCTGAAGAGAATATATGAAAATTTCTTTCATTATTTAATAAAGATCTATTTTAACACAGTGGCTTGGACAGAGCAGATCCTCAAATACATTCTTAAGTCATCTTTTTAAAAAAGATTTAAAAACTTTAAAAAAGTTAATTTTTCTTTCTAAGGCCAATCACAATGTACTTTTATTTCTTGAGACCATCTTTTAAGCATCATGGTATCTCCCTACTAGGTAGAACATAAAAAGATAGATGTACATTTCCTGTTATGGTCACTGCCCTTAAACATATATATCTCCCCTCTTTGTTAGATTTACATGCTCAAATTTAATTGGACCTTTCCCCAAAAAAGTATCTTAGTGTTTGATAAATACTAAATTAACATCTATTAGCTCCTTCATACATATGCAACAAAAAATACCATCAATTAATCTAGACTTATTGCAAAATGATTGAGGAGCCCATAGATGATACCTCAGCCCTCAGTGGAGAATGGTTTCTTCATGAGTCGCTTTTCTTATCATCAATTTTAAACACTTCTGAAATTCTTCTCTCAGAAGTTTCAACTTTCTAGGGAAAAAAAATTGAAAACTGTGAAAAGTCTAATCTGGGTTCATTTTAAGTTCTTACAAAATGAAAGCTTCCTCATCACTGCAGTGGAAGTGGCCAGGGATGGGCAGCTTAAGGAATATCTAAGAATGGTGGACTTTAAACTTTTCCAGAAATGCTCATACTTGAGGGTATGAAAAGTTTGAGTCATTTTTATAATTGAAATGTGCAAGTCTGATTTATAGCAATGCCATCTCCAAAAGAAAGGCAGGGTCATGCAGAGGAAATCAACCCAGGGAGCTCCTTCTTTCTATTTCAGAAGTCCTCACCTTTCCCTCTCTCCATGTGGGCCGCTCTTAAAGTCTGTGGAGGTCTGTTTTTGTATGTTTTTAAGGCTCTCTCTCTCTCTAGAGATGGAGGAGATAAGAGAGGCTGTAGTTAATTGTGGTTCTAGGTAGTGACTCTGCACCTCAGTGCTACAAAAGGAACTGAACTGAATTATGTTTACAGAATTTAGAAAGGAAAACCGTTTTTTTCTTTTCCGTCTGAATTTTTATTTTACACGAACGTGCCTCAGAATCAGTTACAGAAGTAACGGAGGCAATAATGTAGCATATTTCCTTCCCTCTTCATTGAGAACGTCATTAAAACCAGACAGGTAAACAAACCACCCCACTTTCTCCCTGTTCATCACTTTGAAAATAAATTCCATGACCAAAGCCACAGCTGCTGACACCAAAACAGATGGGTTCTGTCAGAGCCTGACTTCAGCGCTGCAAGTTCAGCTTACCCGGAGTTTATTCTCAGGGCATAACAGGAATAAATTGCTACATTTATGATAATTTCTATCCCGAGGGGAAATGATTTTGAATGGAATTGAGTAGAAAATTCACCTTCAGGGACTGGCAGGATAGTGGCAGTGTTAGACATCAAAGTCAACCCCTATATAAGGGAAGGCAGTTCTTGAACTTAAAAATGGAAGATAATGTGCCTGGGTTCAGTAAACATCCATTCCAACCTCTCTTTAAATGCAGAGAAAGCTAAAAGTTACATTTTCCCCGTTGAGTCAATGTTAAAATCCACGGATGTGTTAATGGTATTGTGGTTATGTAGGAAAATGCTCTTGTTCTTATGATATTCGTGTTGAATTATTTAGGGGTGAAGTGTCATGATGTGTGCACCTTACTTTCAAATGGTTCTGCAAAAAAACAAGTCATGTGTGGAGGGACACAGAGAGGGCAGCATGTATTTTATGAGGGAGAGGGAGGTGCACGGGGGAGGGAGGGAAAGAGAGAATGCAAATATGGCGATAGTTTAACAGTTGATAAAATACGTAATGATTAGAAGGTATTCAAACACTATTCCTTCAACTTCCCCGTAGCTTTTCTTTCTTTTTTTTTTAAACAAAATTTGTAGAAAAAGTGCTGAAATTTTTAAAAAGTGAATAGGTAAACAAAAGTATATTTAATTTCATCAGTTTCTGTCAAATGTTAATCAGTATGTTCTCTCTAAATAAGAGTTGATTAAAAGAAAATCATTGCTAATTTTTTTTCTCATCAGCCTTAGAAAAGAATGTCTTCCAATTCTTAGGACTCTGAATTTTTTACCTAAAATATCACACTTCTGAAAAAAGACAATATAAAACAAGTGTGATGTTTATCCAATTTCTAATTAAGTTTCTAATTAAGTTCTGTTTCTCTTTATGTGTGTGATTAGTGTCTAAGTCAAAAGAACACTGTAATAAAATAGCTTAATTATTATAAAGATTAAATAAAGCCTTTCTATTACAAAAAAAAAAAAAAAAGAATACCTTCCCAGATTCTCTTGTAGCTAGGCTTCTCAGTGTGACTTATATTCCACCAGTTAATGCCCTGTGTAAACTTTGATCCCTAGAAAAGTTATGTGTGATAGCTAGGGAGTACATTTATTTTGCTGGCACAGAATATAGCAGATAAGGTAGTGGCTCTAGAGCTCTATTAGCAACTTCTCAATTTGCAGCTTATTTTCCTGGCATTTCCATGGCAGAACTAGTATGTTTTGCAAACAGCAGTGGTGACAACAGCTTCCGGGATTATCAGCTTTCCGTGAAGGCAGAGGTAAATTTAACAATTGCAGTAGATCAGTCCTGAGCCTAGAAATCGTTCCTTAACTTTAGCCTAGAACTGATTCCTGGGCTTTTCAATAATATTATGAGTTTCTATTTGCTGGTGTAAAACTGTTCTGATTAATTAGATTATATTCTATTGTCTGCAACTTAACCTTGTTCAATAGACCAGTCTTCCTCTTTAGCCATAGAAGATCAATATTAATTAGAATTTCTAAAACACTGCTGAATTTATTTTCAATGTATGGTCTCTTTTTTTTTTCCCTCAATCTTTCTACTCTGCCTTTTCAAAGAACCACTTACATCTTATTTAAATAAATATCAATTATTCCCAAGTATTTTCTCTCCTCTTTCAAGAGACATTATCTCCCCTCACACATTGACATCAGCTTGGCCATCTGATCTGCTATGGCCAATGGAATGGGAGTAGAACATAAGCTATGTGTGAGTAGATGCTTTAGGAGCCATTGGCTTATACAATATTGCTATTTCCTCTCTCCCATAAGAACGATTTGCCTTGGATAAAGGATGTTCCCTCAGCTCAGAATCCAGAATAGTGAAGGGACACTGGAATAGAACCACAGATGACCTACAGGTGAAGGTGGTGTGGGCAAGTATAAATATTGTTTCTAAAAGCATTTTTGGGGTTTTAGTGAAATCTGTGCTACCATAGGTACAATCTTTGGATTTATTCCTCAGTTCTTTCTGCCCTGTCCCTCTAAAATTCCTCTAAGTATATTTCAATTAAATAATTCCACTTGGAATTTACTATCAATCCTCTTATTCACAGGTGTTTGGAAGGGGTCCACTAGAGACACAATCAGTGTCTTGTGTGAACAAATAATATACTATCCATTTCTTTATAAATTATTCTTATTCTAATAAACATATTTGGCAATTATTTTTGTCTTCCTTTTGCTCATCTTTGAATCCCCAGCTTCTATCTTGGTGTCTGACAGAAAATAGATGCTTAATAAATATGTTCAGTGCATACGTAAATGTATAAATTAATTTTCCCCAAGAAATGTGTGACAACTGGTAGAATGGTAGGATTTCTCCATCTGTTTCTTCTACCTTGATCCTCTTATAAAAGTTTTTATGCCGCATTCAATCCCAAATGATGAAAGAAAACAGAGTTATCAGTAAAATGGGATTTAAAATGCAGGATACTCAGGTTTTTCTTTTAGTTGTTTAAATCCTTCATTATGGCCAAATCCAACATTAAAGATCTAATTGTGGTTGGCATTAGGTCTTCTTTTGTTTTTTGTCTTTTTAACTTCTGTCTCCCAGTCTTTTGGAGGAAGATGATAGGCCATTAAAAATAACAAGCTGACATTCAAGATGTCAAATCTCTCATTTATTTTAGTTCTAGAAATTTCAAAGAGAGGTGTGGAATGGTGAAAATCAATGAATTGTAGAAGCAAGTAGGATTTAAAAGATGTTACATTCAGGGCATGAATGGAGGGAATGGGATAAAAAGAGAGTAGGCAGTGGTTGCAGAGTAGGATGTTTACAAATTGAGATTCTGGAAAAAGTGCAATGTAAGGCATTCCTGTTGCATTATAAGCAAAAGGCTACACCTCCAACTCTTTGCTTGGAAGTCTCCCCAGCTAAATACCCAAGTTCATCATTGACAAGCTTTGCTTTTCATGTAGCCTCAGGCCAGAATTCAGCTACGTTTCTGCCACTAAGAGAATCTACTTTCCTCCTGTTTCCAATAACATGCTCATTTCACTTACATCTGAATCCTCACTGGTGGAGCCTTCAACGTCCTATTTCTCCTAATAGTCTGTTCATGCTGATTGAAGTGTTTTCTGAAATAAGGTATGTTTTCTCTACCATTTTCTTCAATTCCTTCTGAGCCCTCAGAGGCAGTTGTTAACATCTGTGTATCTATTAACAGTCTCTTCAAGGCAATCCAGGCTCATTCTGTCTTCTTCCAAATTCTTTCAGCCTCAGCTCACTGCCCAATTCCAAAGCCTCTTTCACATTTTTAGGGTACAGCAGCCCTATACCAGATATCAAAACAGCAAATTCGTATTGCTGCTATAAGAAATTATCACAATGTTAGTAATTTAAAAAAAATTATTATCCTACTGCTTTGAAGGTCAGAAGTCTGAAATGTGTTTTAATGGGCTAAAATCAAATTGTCAGGAAGGCTGCACTTCTTATAGAGGTTCCAGGGGCCAATCCATTTCCTTGCCTTCTCCAGTTTCTACAGGCTACCACATTCCTTGACTTGTGGCCTCCTTTCATATTTAAAGCCAACAATGGCCAGTCAAGTTCTCATATTGCTTCATGGCACTAAGGATCCCTGTGGTTATATTGGGTCCACTAGGTAATCCAAGATAACAGCCTTATTTTAAGGTCAAATGATTAGAAAGCTTAATTTCATCTACAACCTTAATCACTTTGTCACATAACAACCCATTCACAAGTTCTAGAGATTAGGACATGGACGTCTTGAGGGGGACCAATATTCTGCCTACCACAGACATGACGTAAAGATATAAAAAAATTAAAGGCAGGTTTTTTGAAAGGACGAGTCAAATGAAGATACACATACAACACAAAATCAAAAATGAAGACTTGACAAATCTCCGGACGCAGTGCATGACTCTCACACCTGCATCTCCTGCCCTCCCCTCGCTATGAATGACGCTCTGGTGCACCAGTCTTCACATACCATGAGTGTTCGGTTGGAAACCCAGATTATCCAATCAAACTCATAATCTTATACTGAAGATATACTTCAGGACATCATTTTTCTTTCTTTTTTTTTAAGATTTTATTTATTCATTTGAGACACAGATACAGAGAGAGAAAGCATGAGCAGGGAGAGAGGCAGAGGGAGAAGTAGGCTCCTCACTGAGCCAGGAGCCCAATGTGGGGCTTGATCCCATGACCCTGGGATCATGACCTGAGCCAAAGGCAGACGCTTAACCATCTGAGCCACCCAGGCGCCCCGAGGACATCATTTTTCTATGAATAAGTTACCCTAAGTCTTTCTTTTGTATGAGTTATCATTACCAATCATACCGTGATTTTTTACAGCTATGCCAGGCTCAAATCGTAGCCTTGTCCTTGATTTTCTCTTCACTACATTCCACTGCCAAACTGATCACCAAATGAGCCATACCAAGAAAAAGAAAAGAAAAATGACCCTACGGAGACAAAAAACGGGATTTTCCTACTTAAATTTTTGTTGACATTACATATTTAAACCTCCAATATTGCTTCTGGGGATAGCTAGTTTCCAAATATGAACTCCAATGAACCACTTCTTTTGATATTAACACGCCTTCCACATTGAAACTGGGCTGCCTACCGTATATTAACCAATAGAATATGGCAGAGGTGTCAATTCTAAGACTAGAATTTAAGACAATGGGCAGATTTTAATTCCTTTCTCTCAGAATGCTCACTTTGGGGAACCCTGAGTCACCATGTAAGAACTCCTACTTTCCTGATTGACAGTCTAAATGGAGAAACCATAATGAGAGGAAGAGAGCTCCAGCTATTATAGCATCTTTGCCAAACTGTAGATGAATTCAGCTCCCGTTACTGTCTGACTATCATCACATGAGGGGTATCATATGAGAACAGTGGAAAATCTCACCCAGTCAACCCAGAGAATCAGGAGAAGAAAAGCTCTCTGAAACCATTAGGAGTCGTTTATTTCACAGTAATAGATAATAGAAACACTAATTTAAATCTGCATGAAAATGGTAACATTTGTCTAACCTCACTGGAGTAAACAGTTGAGGCTGAGTAGACCAAGGTGAGGCTCAGCTTATCTATAACTCACTTACAGTATTTATTGTCTAAACATAACCACGCTCCCCTGTCCTTAAGTTTATGATCATGTGAACATCTGATAGTGAGGTTCCTTTGGCTCCAAGCATGGCCAGCCTCCTATGCCCATCCAAAATCCACTAATCCTGCAAGACCAGGTTCTTTGATTCTCCTTTGCCAGGAACCTCCTCCAAAGCTTCCAGGGAATGTGGTTTTGTCCATCTCCTTTGAGCCACAAAATCATTTGCCTCTCATTTATGTGATTGATTTAATTTTCTTTTAATCGTCTTTTTAATTTATTTAAGAAATTAAATAAATTTCTTACCTACTGGGTCAAATTTGTAATTTTTCATCTGTGCCTCTCAACAATGCCTTTTAAAAAACAGTTGAATATTTGTTGAATGAGAGTATAAATTCTCAAAGAGCATCTAACCTTTCAGAGTAAAACACCATACTTGTGGAACTAAAGACAGTGATTGAGTTCTGTTTGGACAATGTTAATTAAGATCAAGCTGAGTAAAATGGGGAAGAGTGTTTTTGGGGGTCAGATAAATTTTCAAGATTTCAGCAACATATATATATATATAAAGATTTTGTTTATTTGACGGAGAGAGAGAGAGAGAGAGGAAAGCACAAGCAGGGGGAGCGCGAGAGGGAGAAGCAGGCTCCCCGCTGAGCAGGGAGCCCGACGTGGGGCTCGATCCCAGGACCCTAAGATCATGACATAAGCCGAAGGCAGACGCTTAAACAGCTGAGCCACCCAGGCGCCCCTTACCAACATATTTTAAAGATTAACCAACCAGAGTTATCAAATTCCTCTGCAAGTATTTTTCTGATATTATTTCTCATTGCCCTATTAAACTACTAAATGCCCTGATTTCTAATATTCTTTTTTTAAATTGTTTCTTTTTTTTAAAGATTTTTATTTATTTATTTGAGAGAGAGAATGAGAGAGAGAGAAGAGGGTCAGAGGGAGAAGCAGACTCCCTGCTGAGCAGGGAGCCGGATGTGGGACTCGATTTCGGGACTCCGGCATCATGACCTGAGCCGAAGGCAGTCGCTTAACCAACTGAGCCACCCAGGCGCCCGATTTCTAATATTCTAACACTTTACTGTCCTTGCTCTCTAAACTGTTCTTCATACCCAGAAGAAGCATGGCAATCATTTCTCCTATCCATCTCACTTTGTGTTTCAGAGAATATAGTGACAGAGCAGAGAATAAACTATTTAATTTTCCCTATGTGTTTTATGACCACAAGTATGAAACGCTAGAGTAAAATATAACATAAAGACCCAAACTTAATTGCAAATAGAAATAGATGTTTATTTCTTAATACATAGGGGGGAAAATCCCACAGATTTAAAGTACGGTGTGAAATGCCACAGAAGGAATACCAGGGTAAAATAATCCCCAACTTAAAATCATAGTTTTATAATAATTATTAGTGAGGAAAATTGCAACAGCATCAATAACACAGCTGTTGACACCTCACAACACATAATACAGCAGCCAAAATAAGTGCGATCTTAATAAGTGCTATCCCTGATAATAAATTAAGAACATATTTTGAATAGGCACAAAAAATGGACCAACTCAAGCAAAAATGTTTCCACTTTCCCCCATGGAATTTTCCCTGGCAGCAAAATAAATGAAATCATCATTTCACTCCCCTCACCTGGCACCAGGGTCAGCTCTTGATAAAATGCTGCTATAGGAAAGCTTCTGGTTTGTCACTCCCTAGCAGCGTCTGCACCACACTGGAACTTGTTGGAAATGCATACTCTTAGGCCCACCCAGAACTTCTGAGTATGAATCTGCATTTGAACAAGGGACCCCGGGAAATTGGCTTGCACACTAAAGTTGGAGAAGCCTTGTGCTAGTTCATCTCACTTGCTGGGTTTCTCTTTTGATCCACTTCCCTACAGGGTGTTCTTGCCTGGATGAGTCGTTCTCTGTGTAGGGCAAGTAGGCAAGTGGCTACTTTACAGGCAGAACAATATGTTCATAACCTGCCCTTGCTGTTACTTTCTTCTTCTAACATGGTACCCATCAATGCCTTCCCTGAGTCATCAAACATGCTGGCCTGATTCACAGCAAACCAAAAGATTTTCATCTCTCTGTGATGTTTCATCCTCTCTTCACTAGAGCAGAGAGAAAAGAGAAGGCAATGTTGGCTGCTCTTACTCTTCCTGGCCGACTTCTCTCTCCCCTGCTGTCTTCAGAAGTAGGGGCAATTAACACCCAGGGTGAGTTCAAGAAAGCCCTCTAGTATTTTCATCCATTTGCAAAATTATCACAGAACCTTCCCATTCTAACAGAGTCATCGTTGTAGCTTTGAACAAGCACACTGCTATCCAGAGGTCTGAACTATTACATATATATATATATATATATATATGTAATTTATATAGACATATATATGTAATACACACACACACACACACACACACACACACAAATTGTTGAATTTCCAGAGCAAATGATAGACTAATACCTTTGGTTGTTTATATGTAAGAAGAACACATATCATGAACTGTGCATGACAACTTCATATAAAATAATATAAATCTTAACTAGCTATGATTTATTTTTATATGTTTGTAAAATTCTTTTCTGAAAAGGAAATTAACATGCTTTTGATATAGGAGAGTGTTTTAAGAAACCAATCCTCCCACAGAGAACAGTCATCAACTCTGGCCAAAAAGAAAAAAAAAAATAATGGAAGGATCTGGAGGGATCTGAAGACTCATAAGTTGACATATTTTGGGGGAGAGTTGAAACTTGGACTGAGTTCTTTGTTTTGTTGCAGCTTTACCCTGAGGTCAGCCATAGTTGAAGTGATCTTTAAAACTATGATGAACACTACATCAAAAACTAATGATGTAATGTATGGTGATTAATATAATAAAATAAAGAAAAGAAAAGAAAAACACCAAAAACTAATCATCTTTTTGCCCAGAGAAATCATAGAAAGGAGCCCTCAGATAAGTACAACCATTAGCGTGATAAAGGAACCCCAGAATGGAGAGAGGCAGAGAAGAAAATCACAGGCTGACCCTTGAATCAGGCTTGCATAGGGATGACTGAAAGCTTCTAAGACCTGAGGTTTAAATAACTGAACTCAGTACTGAGCCACTGTCTACCACAGGTGTGACAGCACTTTTCATCTACCTGAATTAATAACTCGGAAAAATAAAAATATCAATGTTTTGATGATGTAACAATCAATATATTGTTGCAATATAAAAATATATACAGTCCAGACAATCCACAACACAACATTTATAATACCCAGTTTATAATCTAAAATTACTTGACACACCAATAGCCAGGAAAATGTAACCCATTCTTAAAGGAAAAGACAATTGATACAAGCTAATCCTGAGATGACCCAGGTGCTAGAACCATTAGACAAGGACTTTAAAGCCACTATTTTAACTATGATCAATGAGGTAAAAGAAAACACACCTGTGTTTAATTAAAAGATAGAAACAGCACATAAGTAGGAAACATGTAAAAAAAGAACCAAATGGAAAGTTTAAAAGTGAAAATAGAAGATCTCAAATTAAAAATTCACTGGATTAGTATCAAAAGAGCATAGAAATGATAAAGAAATGTTGATGATCTTGAAGACAGATCAATAGGAAGCATAACAGTTGAAGGAGAGAGAGAAAAAGACTAGAAAAAAAATAAAAAGAGATCAGGGATATATGGGACAAGTTTTAAAAGGTATTGTATACAAGTATTTATCTGAGAAGAAGAGGAGAGAGACGATGGGACAGAACAAGATATTTGGACATATAATGACAACAAACTTCCCAATTTGGTGAAAGATACGCATTTATACAAAAAGCTTAGCAAACCCCAAATTGGATTAATTACAAGAACCCATGTTCCTGAGCAAGTCCTCCTCAAAGGAAAGCTAAGGGAATTTGCCATGACAAGGCAATGGTGCAAGATATAATAAAGGAAGATCTTCAGGCTAGAGAGAAATCATGCCAGAAGAAAAGTCAGATCTTTAGGAATGAAAGAAAAGAATCTAAATGGCAATAAAGGATTTCATGAATTATTACAAAATCATGGGCAATTATTAAAAACTATTTTATGTAATAATTAATTTAAAGTACATGTGACTTTAAAGAAAAAAATGAGAAGTTTATAATGTATTCAAAGATCTAGAGTGAAATAATCAATAAAAAATTAGTCAAATTCTATAAAGTATTCAGAAGAGGGTAAGAAAAGAAACTAAAAACAACATGATGGTACACCTAAATCCAAACATAAAAATAATTTCATTAAATGTCTATAGAATAAATTATCCAATTACAAGGAAGAGATTATCAGAACGAATACAAAAGCAAGATCCAACTGTATGCACAGAAAATGTGTAAGCAAACATGTAGAAAAATATATGATGCAAGGAAGAAGTATAAGAAAGCTGGCTTGTATATATTAATATTACATAAAACAGACTTCAAGACAAAGAGTATTTATTGTTGGGGGTAAAGAGTATA